CTTGGCAGGCTAAATTACAATTGCTTAAAGATATTTCAAAAGAGTTAGATAATATTCACTATAATGCAGGATATATTTATGCTGACTTTCATAGCAGTAATATTTTATATGATCAATGCAATAATGAAATATGCAATCTTATGTCGCAGATCTAGAATTGTCTAGAAAGAAAGATGAAAATGTTGAGAAAGATGAAATTTCTGGTGTTACATCCTATGTCACTTCGGAAGTTTTATTAGGAAAAGAATTTATACAAGCTGCTGATATTTATGGCTTTGGTGTTATTATAGCAGAAATGTCAACTGAAAAAAGATCTTTTGATGAGTATGAATTTGATACTAAACTTGCAATTGAAATTATTGATCATGGATTGCAGCCAGAATTTGCTTTAGAAACTCCTAAATGCTATATTGAATTGGCTAATCAATGTAGATTCCAATTCATAAAAACAACTTAGAACTATACTTGCTGGCAAAATGACAAAACCTAGACAAATTCAAAAAAACTAATTGCTGTTTATAAAAAATTTAAGAATATATGATATAAGTTTGAATAAAGATTATTAATAAATTATGAACTATTAGAATTATGGACTATCGAGATTATAGAACTATTGGGATTATAGACCTGTCGGGATTATGAAATTATCAGTATTATAAATATGTCAGATTATAAAACTATCAGAATTATAGACTATCAGGATTATGGACTATCAGAATTATGAAACTATTGGTATTATAGACATGTCAGGATTATGAAACTATCAGGATTATGGACTATCGGGATTATAAACTATTGGGATTATAAAACTATTAGTATTATAAATATGTCAGGATTATGGAACTATCAGGATTATGGACTATTAGGATTATGGACTATCGAGATTATGAAACTATTGGGATTTTAGATTTCAGGATTTTACTTCAGGATTTTAGCATTGTTGAGGTTTTGTGTTGTCAGGATTTTGGATGTTGGGATTTTGTTGTCAGGATTTTGGATGTTCAGATTTTGGATGTCGAGATTTGGTGATAAATCTAGAAAAGTTATATAAGCGATCTCTATGAATATTCAATTGATGATAAAAATTTCAAAGTCAGGTATAAAAAAAAGATGCCTTTTTGTAAAAAGTTTGTAAATTAAAATGATTATCTCTCTTCATATTTTTTACTAAGAAAAATATTTCAATTATATAATAAACTTTAATAAACTACGCATATTATTTAAATATTCATTATAATGATAAATGCAATTGACCTGCTAAAAAGATTTTCTGCTAAGTAAAATTTATTTTCCAACACTTTTTGATCCATTGATTAAGGCACTTGAGAATGCTCTTAATTTAGTATATACCAGTACAGATGCTAAATGATTCAAATTAGGATTACAGATAGCACCTTTAGTTGAAAATACTTGAGAACTGGTAAAAATTAAAAATTTTGCCATGTTGAATAACATGATTTGAATACTACCTAAATACTGTTTGAGTAGTATTCGAATCATGCTATTCAATATAGCAAAATTTTTAATTTTTACCAGTGATTATAAATAAGCACCTATTATAAATAAGCACTCTCTGTAAATAAAATTGTCAATAATAAATAAGCATCTGATAAAAATTGGCTGAATAATTTTTTGGCCAATTTAATTAAGCTTGTGATTTTAGCATAATTGGGTATATAAAAGCTATTTTGTATAACATGTAATACTTGTTCTACAGATAGTTTTATAATTACAATGTTGATACACTCAACATTATAAAATTTTTGTTTGAATACTATCCAACATAGTTGGTGTATACTCAGAGTATAACCTGGAGTATAGCCTAGAGTATAACCTGAAGTATAACCTGAAGTATAACCTGGAGTATAACCCAGAATATAACTCGGAGTATAACCTGAAGTATAACTGGAGTATAACCTGGAGTATAACCTGGAGTATAACCTGGAGTATAACCTAGAGTATAACCTGGAGTATAACCTGGAGTATAACTCAGAGTATAACATGGAGTATAACCCAGAGTATAACCTGGAGTATAACCTGGAGTATAACCTGGAATATAACCTGAAGTATAACCCAGAGTATTAACTCAGAGTATAACTCAGAATATTGATTTGAAGTATAACTCGAGTTGGGTTGAAGTAAGGCTTGTTCTATTTAATTTTAACCTAACCCACTCCACTTCACTCCATTAACAACCCTAACCAGAATGATCAACTGTCCAAATATACTATTTCATTCCTGTTCAAAATTATTAATTGAAAATTAAAAAATTAAAAATAAATTTTCAATTACACTAACCGTGTACATGAATATAATATATTTCTAATTGATTTCAAATTGTTATATATAAAATTTGTGTCTATCTATTTGCCATATTTCTCAACCAAATTATTAACAAAGTTTTCATAAGAATCTTTATAAGCTCTAATACCTCTTCTAAAATCCTACAGATTTTTTTTATGATTTCTACGATGCAGAGGACCTACAACTTCTATTATCGTTAGATTCATATTTAATATATTCCTAATTATTAAATCAACATGATAGTCTCTATCAGATTTGAAGACTAATTTTGTTTTGTCATATAGCCTTTTCTTTTTAGCATTGATTTTATGCTCTTTTGATCCTTTTAATGTAATGTCAATACTAAAAATAAAAACATCAAATAATAAATAAATTATGATTCATTAAAAAGATAAAAATAAAATAAATCTACATACAGAAAAGAAAAAAGATTATATTTATTTAGCTTAAAATTTAATTTAAGCATTTCATATAAATAATCTACAATATATTGGCCTTTACTAATATTATTGTCAGGAAATAAAACTAGAGTTTTCCATAAAATTCTTCTATAAATATAAAATAAATATTATGTAACATATAATTTTTAAAAATACTTTTTATATAAGAAATACTTACAATTTTACTAAAGCTTCATAATAAAATTTTATTATTAGGTAGACAAAGCATTTCACAATTATCATTAACGATATTATTATCATATAGAAAATCAGCTAACTGATTCAAATAATGAGGGATAATAATATCTATATTAATATGAAATGAATGTATTTCATTAATTTCTTTTCATTCATCATTAAATATTTTCTTTAAGGGTTATTATTACAAATATTAGAATTTTAACATATATAATACTTACACATTAAAAAAGTGATTTTTTATTTATAGATTATTTCGAGATATTCTGCTATATTTCTTCTAGATTCAATATAATATTCTAAATCTTATTTAAATGTATAATTTGTTAATTGCTAATAAAATATAATCTTATATATATTTATTATTACCTTTATATTATTAAATATACAATTATTAGCTCTATTATATTAGCATATAGGAACAAAATGATAAGAAATATCTGATGTAATATGTGTATTTATTATCTCTTATATTGTTGTTTTTTTTTTTGTTTTTAAATGCTTCGATAGCAAATCATTTATTATCATAACTATCACTACAAAAAAAAAAATATTACTATAGAATATTATATAAATAACAAATTAAGATTTTTAAAATATAAAATTATAATTACTTAAGTAAAGCAACTCTTTCCGTAGATCACTTGTACCAAAACTTCTTGCAAACATTTTATTATTACTCAAAATTCTATTAAGTAAA